TTGTGCACGTAACGTTTCTTATAATGCGCTTATCGTTTACATCTGTGAAAATAAAATGAAAATAATTAAGGGGGAAATGTTGTAAATAACGAATCTTACTCGTATCTACGTCACTAGATGGCGCGACTTAAAGAAGAGGTGACAAATTCGACGAGTGTCGTGATTTCATGGAATCTTGAACAAGTTTTTAACATTGGTGGATCGAACATTTTTTTCTTTATTTCGCCAACACACCGTGACAAACTCTTTTTCGTTGATGCGTGACGTCATTGCGGATTTTGCACCTTAAACACCCGAGGTTATTGTGCCCGTGCTAAAAACACGTCTATGATGTTAATTTCAAAATGTCCATACTTACAGGTGGTTTCAATGTGACGTACCTGATTGCTGGTGAGAGCGGACCTATTGTTAACATTGTGAACAATTTGTCAGGGATGGTACAGGTTGAGGTAAACATATCTTGGCTGATGACAAGGACTAATCCCCAGTTCGAATATTGTTTCGAATGATACGATATAATATAATGAACTGACGCCACTGTATCAATTGTCATACATCGGCTGTAGATTTATTGGGAAAACTAATTCGAGATTGAAATGTAGTAATTTAAAAGTCAAATTAAATAAACATGAAGAGCTGACTTCAAATGGCGCCAATTCGAAGGATTATTGCCTCACCTTCTTGACCGTTGTCAGATGTACCAGAACGTGTACTCAAGGGTTACATAATAATTGATGTGAAACACGCCCTCAATGTAAAATTAGACCACTGAATGATGGGTTGTCACGTGTCTTTATCGCTGCAAGACATATCAAGGACGATACTTAGCGGAGAATCTTTTCATCATAAATCATTTTCTTTGAGAAGCAACTGAACACCATTTAATACTGACGTGAGTTGAACAAAACATTCTTTTCGGCCGGGACAATTTGATCACGTGTTTCTACATTGTAGATTACGTACCATATATCCAATGTGCTAAATGATATTGAATGTGTTGATTACGAGTGAGCCCGGGCTTTGGGCATAAAACTAGAATTGCTACGCATTTTTTATATTTTATTTTATATTTATATAATAAATCGCCAGGATAAGAGAATTTCACGCGAAGTAAAAGAATGTATTTTATTCAAATTACTCACAGTGACGTCTATGAATGTGACTGTCGCCCGCAGGACAGAGGCAAGTCAAATATGAACGGAACACGTTATATTGTCAAAGAATCGATCTTACGTCCTAGTCCCAGTAAATTGCGTATGGAAAAGCCGATATCGTAGGTACGTCGACGTGGTGTATACCGCTACGTACGAAACGGATTATTTTGGGTTGAATGAAATAGGGTGTTCTATGGGAATTGGTCCCCAGAGAACAATGTGTCTGCAATATATGACTAATAAATTGTACACGAAGAGTAGTAAAACAAGTTCACCGTATAATATAATGAGGTAATTATACACAATCATTTACTAATTATTGGGAATCGACCAGACTCGACTTTTACGGTCACCACATGATTCGTCTTCATTCCGTCCGTCAAAAGAGGACGTTGT